GATGAGAAATTTGACTTGTGCTGTCAGGCGCCGGATCCAGATTAATATAGGCTGACTCTGCAACTTGTATAACAATGTTAGACGCCGCCCTATCCAGAAAGCAATCACATTGTGCGGATTTTGAATTTAGAACAAAACTTTTATAATTCAAAAATGGATCTTACATTTTAGGCTATATTTTCAAACTAAAACCAAATTCCAACAAGACAAAGCAAATGCAATAAATAGTTCGGTTCACCAACGGAACTATCCGAATAGTTTCAACCGTAAAAGGGCAACGTACAAAGAGCTTCATAAAATGCCAGTACGACCACATCGGTGACAAACTCGGGAGGTATTCCGAGGGCCTGCCTCGGCACCCTTTAACAACGCCCTTCGCATATTAGCCTGAAAATCAAAAGTCGCCATTATTAATGGCATTGCGCGATGACAATCAAAATATCTCAAAGCGTCAACAGAGAAGCGAACAGAAGCTGCTCAGTAAATGTAGAGTCACCAGATGCGATCAACGCAATCATATTTCAAATAGGAAGCAAGAAAAATTATAGAAGCATTCAGCATCTTTATCTCGCGGATACAAGAGTTCATTTTATGACCATTAATTTTGCCTTTTGCTCGGGTGTTTTATCACAGCGAGAAGCTCTGTCGCGCGTCTCATTAATCAAAAGCATTTGTTTACAACGGAGGGAATTTGATTTGATTAAAATAATTCGCAATATCCTTGATAAATATCACCCTCGGTCTTCGTTTGATCTTCACTGAAATTAATGGTGGAAGATTCAATCACACAAATGTTCTTAAGGCATTTTCTTATGTAAATATTGAATTTTTATCTCGTCTTACTGTCGTTAATGAAACCTAGTCAGAATGCCTGCATTGGCTAACGGCAATATGCCAGTAAAACGGGGATGTTTTTAATGTGCCAGGTTACATACGATTTTGCCAGGTTTCACACCTAAAGCCAGTTGAACTGCGGGTGAGTTGCCGGACGTATAAAAATACATTTAAATAAAGCTTTATCTTCTTTTTTCAGCAGTGTTAGCAGTGGCTTCAGCATGCGAATCTCATCCCTGTGGTCGTAGGTTCGATCCCCAGCTGCGTACAAATAGACATTCTATGTGCTGTTAACACTCGCTCGTACGGTGAAGGAAACAACAAGGAAACCGGCAAGCCTTGGACACAAAAAGTTGACGGTGTTTGTCGGCATAAAGGAAACCTGAGGCCCAGACCTAAAAGGTCTATACATAGCTTTATTTTCACTAAATAACTATGAAAGCGGTACATGATGCTAGAGTAGTCTTCTTGCTTAGATTAAAATGCCTGATAAAGAGATACATAAGGCTTAGTAGACGGAAGATCTCCGGTAGTAGAAACAGTGGAATGAATAACGATTGATGTCAAAGCGATGTGTGCTGGAGTCTGCCCTCCTGGCTTAACCCGCCGCACGCCGATTAATCGCTGCTAATTCGATCCGAAACGGAATTAAACCGGACGAATGCATAGATCCCAACGATTTGTTGACTGCTAATTGAGTCGACGTTTGATTTACTGCCAATTGTAAACGTTCAATCCGTATAAAGCAGTGTATTTGTTTTGCATGTGATGGCATTTCTTTTGATAAGTATTTAAAGTATGTCGTATATTTCGTCTACGTCTTTTTATTTACAGAAAGAAAGGTATATAAGGTATTATATAAATATAACTTTTGATTCAAAAAAAAAAATCAGTGGCGCTACAACCTGTTTAGGTCTTGGCCTCAGATTTCTGAATCTGTTTCATGTTCATTTGTTAATCTAATAGGCAAGTAGGTGATCAGCCTCCAGTGCCTGACACACGCCGTCGACTTTTTGGGTCTAAGATGTCGGTTTTCTCACGATGTTTTCCTTCACCGTTCTAGCAAATGTTAAATGCGCACATAGAAAGAAAGTCCATTGGTGCACAGCCGGGGATCGCACCTACGACCTCAGGTATCAGAGTCGCACGCTGAAGCCACTAGGCCACCACTGCTCTTATATATTTTGATTAATTAAGCGCAAAACGTGTAATTTTTGAAGTTATACTTCTTTAGGCGCGTTATGAAAAATTGATGAGAGTGAAATTTTACGATGCGCGCGCACCGTGACACAAAATTATCAGAATGAAGTTGCCCACGGAAGATGCTACGGCATTGGACATAATTTAAAAACAACATTCGAATAATAATAGAATTTATGTTACACTTAATGTAAGAGAATAATAATAAATATTCATTTATTTAATTATTCAAATGTAAACTGAACTTTATTGACTATAATGAGTAATGACTCCTTTTCCAGTCTTTGATTATTTAATTGTAATTAATTATTTGCATGCAATCAAAAACTATTTATAATAATGCCAAAGAAGTATAACTTCTTACGCGCGTACATAAGTACACGCACCCTTTTTTTTTATTTTGCATTATTTTAGTCTTGAGCTATGAAAGTAAAAAAACCTTTTTAAAAGATTTTTTATTACTAAAGTATTTATGTGGAAAACGTAAAACGTTGCGACTATTATTAAACCACGTTTAATTATGAAAATACCCAAGATAATCGTCATTAAATCAAATAAGCACGGTTGGATGCATAAAGGAAACAAAACAAACATTACAAATTATATTAAAACAGAGATAATCCTGTCAATTAATTGGAGTTAAGATGAAAACCGGTCTCGACGCATGCGCGAATCAAACCGACCGAGATAATGTGCTCACAAGGAAACTCAAGGATTTACAATTAATAGGTATTCAAATCATTTAAAATAATCGAACCTTTGAGGACTAAAAGAAAAAAAAAAGGGTGCGTGTACTTAGGTACGCGCGTAAGAAGTTATACTTCTTTGGCATAATTAAAAATAGTTTTTGATTGGATGCAAATAATTAATTAAAATTAAATAGTCAAAGACTGGAGTCATTACAGTCAATAAAGTTCAGTTTACATTTGAAAAATTAAATAAATAAATATTTATTATTATTCTCTTACATTAAGTGTAACATAAATTATATTATTATTAGAATGTTGTTTTTAAATTATCTCCAATGCCGTAGCATCTTCCGTGGGCAACTTCATTCTGTTAATTTTGTGTCACGGTGCGCGCCCATCATAAAATTTCACTCTCATAAATTTTTCATAACGCGCCTAAAGAAGTATATTTTCAAAAATAGTCTTTTGTTTTTCAATTCGCCTCGTAGTTTCTGTTTTGTAATACAAAATACTTGGCGAAAAATAGAATGGCGGAGATTCTCCTGGTATTTGAGAATTTGACAGTACATTTTAATTAAGTTAGATTTAAGTTTTTGATGGTAAATGTCAATTTTTTTTCTTTTTTAAAAGTTTTATATTATTGAAGATTATATTTAGATATTGCATAAATAAGAATTGGAAAGATTGTAATAATTTAACAAACATAATATCTAATATTAGAATATTTATCTCGACTTTTTATTAAAGGATTTTCTAGTTCCAAAGTAAATTTAAAATCCTTTAAAAAAACAGCCTTAATCCGGGTCCCCGAGTGACAGTGACACATCGGTACACGGCGCGCTGTCCGACTGTAATTCTACCCAACACTGGTCGAGAGGGACGTGTTTTATTCTCAATCTACTAAATTAATTAAGAGGAATTAATAAAATTGCCCTGTATTAAGTATACACGGCCTTATTTCATATAAAAAAATGTTACCATGGTTACAAATGCAGTACTCAGGAATAGTTACGAGTATATCCTACTAATATTACAAACGCAAAAGTAAGTATGGATGGATGTTTGTTACTCTTTCTCGTATAAACTACTGAGTGGATTTTAATGAAACTTTACAATAATATAGCTTATACATCAGAATAACACATTAAGGCTATATTTATAAAAATACTGTCAATTGTCCAAAATATAAAGTAAAGATACACTACCACAGCGATCAAACTTTTTAAATTTGTTTTATTTTTTTTCTATTTATCCATTTTAATTATTATAACTATGTGGGTTAAGAATAATATAGTATACTAGCTGACCTGGCAAACGTCGTTTTGCCATGTATATCATTTATAATTAAAAAATAGGGGTTGTTCGTAGAGGGGTGAAAATTAGGGGTTGTATGTATTTTTTAATGATGTATCATAAAAAAATAATCTAAAAATTAAAAAAAAAATTAGGAGTACCCTTTAAATTTAGGGGGATGAAAAATAGATGTTGTCCGATTCTCAGACATACCCAATATGCACACAAAATTTCATGAGAATCGGTCAAGCCGTTTCGGAGGAGTTTAACTACAAACACCGCGACACGAGAATTGTATATATTAGATTTGTGTGTTTCAAAGGGCATATCATACAATAGCTAACAGGTTTAATATAACATTTTAAAGATTGAATATACAAATTGTAAGAAGCATTTATATTAGCAACTATTAGAAGTATTTATTTTTGTAATCAATACACATTAAAACGGCGGTGTTATGAAAAACACACATCTCAATTTAAATACATTATCCCGTAAACCTCTCATAAATCTCTTCAATCAACATCAGATTGCAACATTCAATTGAAGCATTTGAAAATGAAGTCGAAACCGCGAGTATCGTTCAAGCGAACCGCCGATCAATCACCATCCATTAAACAAGAAAAGAAAAGCGCTTTCCCCCAAACATTGGCCCTCGAATCGGCCCAATTTACATGAGAGCCGCTTTTTCCTCGCATCGAGATTAGCTCTGAATGAGTTTGATGAATTGTTTTTACCCCGCGTCCCTACAACCGGTCATTTGTTAAAAATACACCCGATCTGGCTAATTGTCTCCTCTTATTTCACACTCCCTATCATTTAAATTACGGATTTGTTGTTTAATTTATACAATGTTTTTGTTTTAATTAAATCTTTGTTATCAAACGCGTGTGACCATTGTTTTATTCTTCTATGTATGATGATTTAAGATGGTGTAATTGACCAATTAAGAAAGATAGAAAATAAACCAAAATAAAAATAATCTTACCTCTCGAGATGTTTGACGATATCTTCGTATGCGGCTCTACAATTTTCCCATATGCCCGATCTGTTGACAGAAAGTAAAATAAGAAAAACGGGAAATAAAACAGTCAGAGTCATATTAGCAGAAGAAAGCGGTTTGTAAAAGGAAATCCAAAATCTAATGTACTATAATGTGATGTAAAGTGATACCACCATGGCCACTCAAACTACCAAAAGGCTCGCAAGTGCGTCTTGAGTCAAATTGGTTCGGAAAAACTTTCTATAGTGGCAATAAAAGATTTTTAAAGACATCTTAAGGTAGAAAATTGACAATTAAACAAACGTACAAATGTGTCTGCCCCATGGTCCAATGCGGGGTTATGTGACTGACTATACGAGTTTACTCTTAAATATATGAATCACTAAAATGACCGCTTTATTCTCCTAGTGAGACTATAAAAGAACCGAAATTGAACATTTAAAATGTAAAGAATCTTAATAAGCGCGAAAGACAAAAACTTGCAACAAAGTATTGAAAATAAAAGTTTGCAAATGAAAAGGGTTTGAATGTGAAAGGAATAATTATGAGCACTCAATATTAAATGTTCCGTTAGACTGGTCGAGGGGTCGAAATTAATTATGTTTTTAAAACAATCGCTTATATTTGTGTTGGAACAACTCATGCGTGATCGTTGAAATTGTTTCTGAATTACTTGAGCACTTTGTTTGTAAACTTCTCGAATATTTCTTACAATATTGAAGGGTTAAATGCCATCCTTAAGTGAAACTTATAAGTAGGGTAATACTAACCTTAAAATTATTTAAATTTTCAACTATACAGCATTGAAGCAAAAATCGGTATAGATTTGGTAATAGTACTAAAATCTCTTAAGGCTTTTTTGAATGGAAATATGTTCTTATTTTAAATTAAATTAAGTCATAGTTAGATACAACGTATAGAAAAAGGGGAAAATAAATCTAGAGCCAATTCTAAGGTAAATTTTATTCCTAAGCAAAAATAGTTTAGATGTTCTGTCAAATTTGACAGAAAGAAGCGAATGAGATGATAAAAAAACAATTCAGTAGCGATTTACTTTCTATGCTAATATTTATCTATGGTATTTATTTAAGTTCTAGCAATATTTTCTATAGTAATACAAATCTAGTATTAATTTAACATGCTTGTTCATTAAGATCTATAATTATTATGTTCGTTATAAATACGTTGTTAACAAGCGTAATACTGGAGGCTTTGTCAATAATTAGTTAATTTCACAGTTCAGTAACTGAAGATAGAACAAGTAGCTTTTTTAAGTACACACTATATCTTGATGCTAATTTAAGTAAAGCACAGTAGCATGTATCATGGTTGATTAAGGTTATTTGTTCACTCAAGCAATTGGTACGTTTGTATAATACTGCTTCCTGAGAGATGCTGCATACGTGAGGCCTAAATGCGAAAAACGTGAGAAAAAAGGACCTAATTTCTTTTTAATTTAATGAAAATTATTATAATACAATTTTTAATTAGAGTATATAATTACAAGGAAATATAAATAAATAAAATTTAATCGCCGAAATGTATAACCGAAAAACTGAACCAAATTGGATTATTTTTGTTTGTGTTCAGAACAAGATTTCTATAAAATAAAATTTCGAACTTGTTTTTTAACGGAAGTAAGAGTGAATAAGACCGAAGATTGAGAATGAATATTGAAGAAATAGTGACTAGTTCATGTATTTGGAAAGGCTATATAGCATCACGCTATTGAAGACAAAGCTTGTATGGATAATCATATGATTAAGGTTTAACAAGCAAGCTAGTATAACATATTGAAAGTAAAGCAGCTATAGGCACAAAAAATCTATATTTTTTTCGTTTCCTCCCTTTTCCAACGCATTACGTGAAGGGACATATGTCGGTAAGTTAATCACGAAAGTGGCAGTAAGACACTGGGGTAAGTCGAGTCAAGTGGCGTTGCGGGTCTTCCCCGGAAGTGAGGGCATTCGATGTTTGTACTTTTCTTATTAGCTTAACTCGCTTAGACATTTAACCTGTATCACTTGTGACCCGGTAGGTTTCTTTGGACTCATTTACAAGTAATCTGATTACGCACTAATTATACTACATTTAACGGATTTCTTTGTATACCACGTATATACAGACAAAAACTGTATTTTAGCCCATACAATAATTGCTGTGTGATAAGTTCCATAAGGGTAAAACTTTTTGAAGTTATACTTCTTTAGGCGCGTTATGAAAAATTTATGAGAGTGAAATTTTATAATGCGCGCGCACCTGTGACACAAAATTAGGAGTGTGATTATAGCGTGCGCGAGCGAGATAGGAATAAGACAATCTACAAGTAAAAAGAAATAGAATATGCGTGAAGTTCGTATGCCAAGAATTTTGAATGACCATAATGACATTTGTCATTTACCTTTTAAACAAATAAAGGAGTTTTAATTATTTTTTTAAAGAAATTTAGCAATGCTTTTTGAATTATAATCAGAAGTGATTTAAATTGAATATTTAAACCAATACTAATTAATATTTGTGAAAAAAACTGTGCTCATCAACCTTCCTAAGTGCTTCAATACAGTTGAGGTTAACTATCCGTATGTATTATTACTATCGAGTAATGTTTTGATTAAAAAAATGACCACATTGTTTAATCAAAACATGTAATTTTTCTGATTTAATCTAGCAAATATAAGGACAAGAGACAAAAAACTATTGATAAATCAGTGTAAGTGCACTAAATTGAATACAAAAAAAGAGTTGTCATCTTATCACTGTGAAACATCAAAAACTGGAGGTGGAACAAAGCCAAACTATTTTTAATAATGCCAAAGAAGTATAACTTCTTACGCGCGTACATAAGTACACGCACCCTTTTTAACATAGCTACGAAAAAGTAACGTCATTCTTTAGTTGAGAAAATTTTAAATTTATTAAGATGCATTTTTAAACTACGTTGCGGTCATTCATTGTTGTTATGAAGACAAAAATAACGTCACCCTTGCCATGTACATTTTATTATAAATAAAATATTACTTCTAAACCATGTTAGGGAAGCCACAGTTTTACGTCACCAATATCCGGACAAAGCATTTATGACATTTTTTCTATATCATGTAAATAGACTCATAACTAAACAACTGAATGAATATGTTGTTAAATTAAAAAGCTTCATGATAGTTAAGAATTAAAATTGTAGTCAATAGTCAACGTTAGTTATTTCATTTAGTCTGTGCCAAGTTTGACATTTGACATATAAAATTTTTACAGTCAATATTTCTGACGCTTTTTATTTTTAAAATTATAGTTTTGATTCTAGTATCTAGATGGCGTTAAAAGCAATTTCAACTTCAAATTACATCGTATCATGAAGACTTGAGCGTTTGCAGCTTAGAAATGTGGCTAGACTCATGCTAAGCTTATCCGACTAATCTTAGACGTAGCTGGATAAGCCATAGTAGCTTGCTTTTGTTTCGAGAGCTGTTACAATTTCCTTGAATTTGTAACTTACGCTGGTTTGAGTTATTTTATAAGTTTTCCCGTCCTAAAGATTTTTCAGAGACGGAAATTTATTTAAGTTAGCGCTTATCACCTTGTAATACTGCTGTTCTTTTTTTATGTTGATTATTTTAATTATTACCTGGATATTTTTGACATTTAAGGTTTTCACATTGCAAGTATGTTAATCGGTTTACTTTGGACTAAAGGACCTACGTACCAGACGTAAGTAAGGTTAACATTGTACCAAGGCCCCCATACAAACTATTTACTCACCTAGCCAGTGCTTCCATGTTGTGCATTGGTTGTCCCTTGATGATGGAGCCGTCAGGCCGCGGTACACCATGGTGGGGCATACCCGGTGACATCAGAGCATGTTGGTGCATAAAGCCCATAGGACCAAGGTGAGTGGGGGGTGCATTATACCCATTTGCGAGTAGTGGGGACTTCTCCATTCTGGCCATTTCTGTAATAAAAAACAATGCATCGTTACTTCTTTTGTTTTCTGTTAGGTGTTTATTCTTGAGAACATACGACATTTTTGTCTCTAGAATTGCATTATTCATAATTAGTTTAAGAGGTTGTTTAAAAGGTTTAAGTTTTAAGTTTATACTTGTTTTGTTTATATTGTTTTTTATTTTATTTCTATAATAATAGTTTTCTATTGTACCTATTTGTATTAAGTTACTGTAAAAATAGGAAATAAGGCAATAAATAAATATACGTTTAACAAAATGTTCAGTGCCTTAAGTAAGGGATGCAAGTCTAAAGGTCTGCTGCAAGGGAAACTAATAATTATTTCGGTATAGTATAGACCAACAATAAAATAATTACGCAGAAATGTCCATATTCCGTATGCCGTATTGGTGAGCTAGCAACAGCGTTTGAAATAAATATCACCCATGGACCAAACTTCATACGAAAAAAATTGAATTTTGTAACAAAAGTAGTAACGGGTTTGGAGTTCAGTGAACTAGTATAAAATTGTATAAGCAGCATTTATAAATTAAACATTTAAATCACAAAAGGCTTAAACATTTGTTCCCTATAAACATTCCTGAATAATTCAACGACATTCATAAATAGCGGGCCACTCGAAAGTAATCACGTACCTACTCAGGTAAAATCCAATTAATACCCAGTATTATCATTTAATTACTCGTTCCAATAATCGAATCGCCCGTAAAACGGTGTATCAACAATAATAAAATGAGCAATGAATTTCGAGACTATTGTTTTCTGTACCACAAACATCCCGTGTAAACATGGGGGGTAACGCAAATATTCTTAAAATGACCCCCTGTACCCCACAGGGTGTCTTTTGGACACAGTCACCCCGAGGTCACCAAGCAGGGTGTAGGAAACAATTAACATGGTGTCGAATTAAACACGAATTAACGTTTGGGTAAAGGAAAACCTTTTCCATTGAACAAAGGATTTTGGGATTGCTGAGTATTAAATATGTGTTCCGCTTTGTTTTCCAATTAGAAAGGTATTTCTGATAATATTTGAATTTCGAACGTCTAGTTCTGCTTTATTTTCGAATAAGAAAGGTGTTTGAAATAAATATTTGAATTTCGAACGTCTAGTTCCACTTTGTTTTCGAATAAGAAAAGTGTTTGAAATAATTATTTGAATTTCGAACATTTATAGAATAGTTATTTGTATGGCTCTGTTTGTTTAAGCTGCAGATAAGTTCATTCATACGTGACTTAAGAGCTCCGCGATGCAGGCTTTGATAACATTAAGATAATATTGTCTTTTATTCACACGATCAGAAGTCTATTGGTTCAGCGTGGGATTCTTAAGCCTGAAATCGTCAGTTCGTACCTAGGCATAACCAATTCTACAGATTTTTGCAATGAAAAAATAAGTTTCCACTTAAGATACAACAGACTTACGTAGTTGATAAGGTTCTTTATTAGGAATTTCCAATATTAATTTATTCATTTAACACTTCGTTGAAAAAATCAGTACAAATAGCAATAATAGAAAAAAAGAAAATGAGCTATCGCTTTCGAGTGATCGCTTCCAGGCAACCTTTTATGGAAAGTTAAAATAAAATACGGTGAACGCAAGAACACATACATAAGATATACAATAAATTAACAAACAATTAAAACATGTTGGCACATGTACGATAATTTGTCAGGGATTACTAATTATTGTACCTACTCAATCATTTAAATTACAGCTGAAGTAACGTGGTAAGCTCGCAGGTTTTTACAAGCGTGAAGTTTCTGACCAAAACCTTTATCCAAAATAGTAATAACAAAACTACGTACGTACGTTTACGGCGTATGGTTGAGGAGATAACCACTCGGTTAACTAAGTAAATAAACCTGCCCAATTAATTCAGGGTACACATAATGTTTGTTTCTCTATAATCCGTTAAAACTTATTTCCATATTTAAATATTTTATCTATTGCTAACTATTTTCCTAATAAAATAATCCAATTTCTGTGATATTGTTTTATATAGTAAATGGCATGTGTCAGTCAGCGAGCAGATGACTCTGTTTGACACATGGCTTTACAATGAGCAAGTCTTAAATGCACATCCCCTACCCAGCTGTGACTCCAACAGTTGAGTTGCCTCGAGCCACTAGGCCAACACTGCATTTTTCGACTAGACGCATTTAAGTTAAAGAGTAGGCAGGCATTTCCACTTGCTACGGTCCTGACATGCCACACTTCAACCACATCTCATGAAATTTTACCAAAAGAGTAATGTTGGCTTCAACGTGCGACGCACATTCCCGAGGTCGTAGGTTTGATCCCCTGCTATATTATATACCAATGGACTTTCTTTATATGTGCGCGTTTTATGGTGTACGGTGAAGGAAAACATCGTGAGGAAACCGGCTTGTCTTAGACCCAAAACGTCGACGGCATGTGTCAGGCTGATCACCTACTTGCCTATTAGATTGACAAATTATCATGAAACAGATACAGAAATCTGAGGCCCAGACCTAAAAAGGCTGTATCGCTTATGTTCTTTTTAATACAACAAATTTTATTTCGCCTGGAATTGGACCTTCAACTTTCACTAAGCTTAAAGAAGCGGTCTCGCAAAAATAAATATAACTTTTGTCGGCAACAAGTCATGCCCAGGGCTCAAAGTATAACCCAACAACCGCATCGGTCAACCGCACTTACTAATTAACTAAATACGTGTTAAATCTCATAATAACCTGCGGTTAGCAACCCTTATCCTTCATCTCTTTCTTTCTTTCCATTTTTATATCCCTATCCTTTTCTAATTGGGTCCATCCGGCATTCGTAGAAAATTAGGTCATAATTGTGATTTTATCCTATTTGGCATCGTATAAAATATATTTTTTAATAAATATTAAATAAAATTTAAAATAAGTTTTTATCCAGGATTGTGACTAAAAATAAACGATTTCAGTTCTAACTCAAAAACTACATTTCTATTTCGTAATCCGAAACTTTTATTAGATTGTAATCAAGTTATTTATAATAAGGTAAAACATAGCAATATTATGCATTAGGGAAACAAACAAAACCCAAAAACATTTTATATAAAATTAAAATTTCGCATTCTCCAAGTAATTTCTCCACCAAAATTTAACAAAAAAGGCCAACGCCCCGGGCCCCAAAATGCCCCTTAATATCATAACTATGATTAAGCTCATCCACTGATCGGACATTTAAAGAAATAAAACGTCGATTAAATACCCCATTATTATATCGATTAGTCGAATATCGATTGTCCTCAACAATCGCACCAAATTACGGGCCATTATTTTGAACTAGATTCGATAGAATTCAACTTAATGATATCACTTATGTGTTTAAAAGAGGATGGATATAATCCGAAAATTAGACATCCTATCCTTTTGTTTATTATAAAGACGAAATTATATTTTTTAGGCTCGATCAGAAAAAGCTAGAAGCTCGGAACGTTTGGACTCCATCTGCCTGAACGCTGTGATAGTTGTGGAGTTTATCAACATAATGATATCACTAAAAAGAGGATGGATACCAAATATGATCCGAAAATTAGACGAAAAATGAACATTCTTTTGTTTATTAAAAAGACGAAATCATATTTTTTAGGCTCAATCTGTAGCTTTGGATAGCGACGAAGTGATAGTTCTGGAGTTTATTCCATGCCTTATACTTTATTACAATAATAAGTAATGTTTTTAGGAGAAGATTCTTAGTTAATTTTCTTCGGGATTGTCTGTAAGCCTGGTCTAAGCAGTAAAAACGATTTCATTTTTTTATGTCCATTGTTTCACCTGTTTTTTTATGTAAATATTTCTTAACAAATTTCCTACATACCTTTGACTTCTTAATATATCACATATTGATATTTATATTATTATCAAATGTTTATTTAAAGCCTATTTTGGATCCTACCTCGTTATTTATTATCTATAACTTATAAGCCTAATGCCATAAATAGCACATTTATTATGACGTATAAAGTTTTAAGGCTTGTAAATCAAGAAAAATATATTCATAAAACTAGGGAATAAAGGGTTATAAAATACAATGTTGGAGGTAATTGCACTGATACAAGCTGCGCGAAAACTGGTTTTAGCCATAATTATAAACAAACAACGAAATATAAAGAGTCGCATTTAATCCATTAAAAATCTCACGGAACACGACTACTCAGTAGACATAGATATCAGCACCGATGAACTCATTAGCGATAGTGATTGTGATCCCAACTCTATTTTGCATACAATTTACCTTCTAACGTTAAAATCCCCTTGGTTATAGGGAGTCATAGTAATATGAGTGAAATGAAATGAAATAGTTTATTCTTGCAAGTAGGACTATATAAATCACTTTTACAATGTCTTCCTAAGCTAGATGAAGTCGACATTTCCTAACTGACTGCCCTGAGAAGAAATGTCGAAACAAACTCGGGGGTCTTAGTCTCTTTTATAGTCCAGATAATACAATAATAAATTAATAAATTGGTGTAAACAAATGCAGAGTATTTAATGGACTGGTCTTTGGAAGAAAGAACCAGATCGATCTGAGCTAGCCTGTGCCAGCAGACGGCAAGCATGTCCCTAATAGCTCATGCAGCTCAACCAAAAGGGAGACAACAATACTGCCCGTGGCACCATAAAAATATGTGGGGGGGTATTGGTAAGGAGATTGAAAATCAAAAGACATTTTGAAGGGCTTTAGTTCGGTACTAGAATGAGTGGTTGACTATTGTAATACATGCAATATCTATTGAGTATGTTTAATCACACTATGTTTCATAGTTTATATTTTCCTTCTGTCGGTTTTATTTATTATAATTGATAAGCTCTTTTCTTGAAGGACCCTAAGTCGAGTCGGAAATACTTCAGTGGGCAGCTGGTTCCACATAGTGGTGGTGCGTGGCAAAAAGTTTGGTACCAGAACTATGTACAATATCTAGTAAGTACCTATGTATAATCACAGCAGTTTTCACAAGCGACAAGCATTT